ATTCCAGTAGGTTAAAGCTGTGAACGGCAATACAATTCATAAAAATGGAATTTTATTATGCCATTCATTTCGGGATTTTATGAGAATTCTAGAATTTTGGAATAATGACAGGATTCTTCCAATGATATCCGATTGTTGGAACCAATTAAATCCGAAGCATTCCGGTTCCGATTGGCGGTTACTGACGGATTTTATTAGTTTCCGATATTAGGATCTGATATCGATTCCGGAACCAGGAATCCGACAATAATCCGATAGTTTCCTTGCACCTTCCGAAGAGCTCCGCCGGATTCCAATAGGAACCGATCGGAAATCATCGGATTCTAGGCTAGGATTCATTCTCCTGGGTAGATATCTATATATGTATATATTTTTCGTTATACACACCCATACCCACACCCTAGTTTTAGACATTCGATATCATTTTACAGTTCTTTAGATCTTATTACTGTTATATTTCCCTAAAATTTTATAAAAATGTCCGCATTACACTTTCCTGGAAAATATCACACCGTTTGGCTCGATCGCCACATTGGAAATCATGGTTTTTATGTTCAACTTAAACATATTTTCTTTACACAAATCGATCCAAATAGTGCCCGAGAATTTGAAACGTCCGATACAGATGGCGATCCCTTCAAAAAGAGTGATGAAGAACGCCCTGTCACTTTCGAGAATTCTCATTTTACCTTGAATGCTTTCACGAACGAAGACGCCTGCTTCGAGTACATTGATACAATCAAGAGTGATAGAATTTTATTTATCACATCAAATACACTTGGAAAATCAGCTGTTTCTAGACTGCTCAAAAAATATTATACACCATTCATTAATGAGAAGACCAACGAAATATACAATTCAATTTATGTTTTCTGCAGTGATAGCTCACGGGCGAAGGAATGGGCCATTGATTACGTTAAATATGTTAAAATTTGCACGTCCGAAATAGATCTTTTAGCCATAATAATTAGAGATTTGGCCATAGAATTCCTCAAACATGGCCGACAACTGCTTGATGCTAATCAAAATGAAGCTGCTCTGGAGCGCTTAACTTGGTCTAGAAAACTTTTCATTCGGCGTCAGAAACTGGACGCAAGGTATGGTTTGGGCCCCGGACTAAGTGAAACACAACCATTCAGTTTAGAGATTGAAGAAATCGATCGACTTCTAGAACTTGCGTCCATTCCAGTCATGGAAGACTCAAGTGAGGCTACCACGTACATAACGGCAATTACATGCGAGCAAATGAAAGATGCAGAAGATTATATTCGGCAGTATATATTGGCATGGCTGGATAAAGCCTTGGGTGACGATAAAAGCGCTTTAGATATAAGCCTTGGTATGCTACGTAATTTACAACAGGTTTTCACGTTTAATGATGCTAAAAAGTGTCTCGATTATTTAAGCACCGTAACCGACAAACGCGTATTTTTGGTACTTACTTATGCAATTGAAAACGAATTGTTGAATCAATTTCTTGCATTGGCTGAATTAGAATACATCTATTTATTTGGTAAAGAAGGTATATTAAAGAAACACAACTCGAAACTTATCGAAATCTCAAGTATAGAAGAATTATACAGTCGTCTGAACAAAGATATGCCATCAACCACCGAAGAAGATCGTGATACTGATTTTACTTCTCTCAAATTAACTTCCACAGCCAAATCAATTGAAGAATTAGATGATGCTCGCCTATTTATTTTCTATCAATTTTTAACAGAGGTTCTCCTGCATCTCCCTAAAACAGATGAAATCAAAGAAAACTTCATATCTTTCTGCAGAGAAAAAACCAATGACAATCCTACGCAACAGGAAATCTTAGAAAAAATCATCAAGAATTATAAATCCAGTGAAGCTATATCAGAGTATACTTCGACATCTTGCCTTCATAGACTTTTAAATCGTACTTGTCGATTGGGCAATATAAAAGATATGTTTAGAATGGCATTCTATATGACTGATCTTTATGCACAGTTGAAAGAATTGCACAATGAGCAATCCGAGTGGTATAAAGAACAGATAGACGTTTATAGGGGTAAAGCTATGCTTATGGGAGAATTCAAGAAATTAGCGGCAAGTATTGGAGATTTAGTTGTAACAAAATCCTTTTTATCGACCACGACTAAACGAGAAGTTGCTGCAATGTATTCTGGAAGAGGCACATTAGATCCTGAAATGGTGCCCGCTATACTACATATGAAGATCGATGCACGAAGAAATGAAACAAAACCTTTTGCCTACATTCGATATTATAGTAACGTGAGAGCAGATGATGAAGTTTTGATATCGTTAGGAACAGTGTTCCGAGTGGCTGAGAAAAATCAAACGGTAACTTAATTATTTAGATTGTTCTTGATATTTGTTGACTCTCACTCGCTGCTTCTTTAGGAGGGTATTGACGAATTTGTATTAGTCAGAAGTGATGCAGAGGAAACGTTAGAACGTGAAATCAAAGATGGCTTCCATGATCAAATGAGACAAGACAACGTACTTTCTAATGTGACGTCATCGGCGGATGCTAGAGAGCGTATCGAAGAAGTTTTAGACACCATGATGTCATCCAGTGCACGTGCTGTGAAAGAAAATGTCTCAAGTAATGATCCATTTTCATTTGATGCATGAGAAAACGACTGTTTGAAATTAATACGTGGCACATGAGTTTACGCAACAAAAAGATGCGTTGAGTATTAACGTTTTGTTACATACTAATTCTTAACTGTCTAGTATACAGAGATTAGGCTTTTTCATTGCCTTCCATATGAAAACCCTTGATATTGAATAAGATCGTTTCATTGCTTGTTTTGAATCTCACCTGTGCATTCTAGTACTTTTACTTTTGATAGTCTTTCTACCTTTGCTGAGATGTTTTCGCATTTAACCGAATCTTATGAGCATTTCTTTTTTTCATATAACATATGTTTAGTGGATGCATTCAAAGGATTGATTACCTATTTACTTGATATGTGTTGGGGGGGGGGGGGGGGGGGGGGGGGGGGGGGGGGGGGGGGGGGGGGGGGGGGGGGGGGGGGGGGGGGGGGGGGGGGGGGGGGGGGGGGGGGGGGGGGGGGGGGGGGGGGGGGG